GTTTTACGTCCAGAATGGTTAGAAAGTAATTCCGCTGAAATATTAATATTTGTAATACGCCCAATTTCTTGCATAAATCCTGCTAATTTATTTTTTCTCATATGCTTTTTTTTATACCAAATATTTGATTTTAACCAGTGTGATTCAGGTTGTAAATAGAATTTTGAATCATCTGTTTTAGGTCATTTTGATAAATAAAATTGAATATTATTACATGGACCAGTATTATCATAAGGAATAGAACTAATATGAGCTTGACCTTTTTGAAGTCCTCTTTGATTATTTTTTGAGGTATAGCAATAAAATTGTAAACCACCATTACCATCAGATTTGAATTGATCAATCTTAAGTTCATAATGTTTTCCTCCACGCATTGCAAGAATAATAGATAGACAAAAAAAAATGCGATATAAGAGATTTACAGGATTATAATGATTCATCATTGGATGATTCAATACTGTTTGAACTTGAGAAGAGTTAAGAGCAACTGAACCTCTAACTTCACCAAATCCAAGTTCTTGAAGATCATGCATCTTGTCATGCAAAACATTATGCAAATCGGGAAACATATACTGCTCATGTAAATTAATACATGGAATTGGTGAATTATAAAGAAGATAACGACTAAGTGCATCAACAGCTTGCTTTATAGAGTTTGCTTTATATTCATTTCCATCTTTTTTTTCATTGTAGAAATAAATTCAACAATCTGTTCTTCAAGTTGTTTAATATTGTTAATGGTAGTTAATAGATCTAAATATTTTGAGTTAATGTGAAATTCTTCAAATCTTTTCATCCAGTTTTTAGTTGCTAATTCAGTATTTTTATTTTTTGCTTTTTCCCGATAGTAAGCAGCTTTGCTTTTTTCTTCATTAACACTAGGTGTAAGTATAGTTGAATGCTCTAGAAATTGAGCTTCCTCTAAAACTAATCTTGCACTCTTAAAACTTGGATTAGAAATATTTACAATATTTAATTTAGGAGGTTTCTTCTTTTTTTGATTATTCATCTTTTTTTTTTTTAAAAAAGGAAAAAGTATATGAAATGAATATACTGTGAGAATAAAAATTGTAAAATATTGATAAAAGAAGTTATGGGCGTTAGGATCTATAAAATAACTATTACATATAAACTATCTACATGATAGTTTATAGATAAACTATCAGTGTGACAAAATAATAAAATTTTAATTTGAGCAATTTTTTTTTTAATAAATATTAGCATTTAACATTCTTGTTTAGTTTTTTAAAGCTAATTATTATTGATTCTAAATCCCTAAGATCTTGTCAACAAAATATAATACTTCAAATTCCATATTTCCACATCCTTTACTTAATATGTATGTTATTAAAAATTAAAAAAAGATAAAATAAAAATTACTATATCTTCTATATTAAGTCTTGTTCCTGGTCTCTTGAATGTATCAGAATTTGCCAAAGTAAAAACAGAAGAGAAAACAAATGAATATTTTGATTCATAATATAAGACTTTTCACTTTCATATCCTTCATAACTAATGTTTAGAGAAATATTTGTATTGAACAGAGTAGTATTTCATATTTTTCATTGCAAATAGATATAGATATCCCATTACTTTTCAATACACTGCCTTCAGAATTAAACTTTTTATTAATTGAAAGAGAAACGAAAATCTCTAATACATAGCACTTAAATTTTTATGAATTTTATTGACATGTTGAAAGAAGAAATAAATTTATTTTAACATAGTTCTAATTTTCGTAATTTGATAATAACAATGTTTAACTACTACAGTGTAAAATATATCTCATTTTTAACTATGATACATATATGGGGTGTTAAAAGTAGAAACCAAGAAATTTGACAATTTTTTGAAAATTAACCTGTTTGATTAATCAGGTGTAAAATTTAAAGCACAATCTTTTTTACTTAATAATGAAAGTCTAATTACTTAATAAATTTTTGCGATACAATGCAGTCAGGGATTTTGCTAAATTAGGAAATCACATTCTAGAATGATCTCTGTGTCATTCTGTGAATTTGATTGGCTGTGTAACATTTTTATCATCGAGGAATCATTTGATATTTTATTTATTTATTAGATATTAAACGATATACTAATAGCTAATATTAGATATCTACTTTAAATGATCCCACTTGATCCCTCAAAATATTCCATTATAAAAAAGGTAAATGGAAGCTAACTTCTTTTAATTAATAAGTAAATATTGTTGTGGTTAAATTTGATTGGTCAATCGCACGTGATTTTCGTGCAACCAAATGATCTAGAATCATGTGATTAACATTTCTATACCATACATGGTGCGATCTACACTGTCTATTTTTGGCAAAATCCCTGACTGCAATGGTTAAAAGCTTTTGATACCATAATCTAAAAATAGATTTACTGGTGCAGATGTTAGTACGATAGTGATCTACAGATCTAATAATCCTGTTTAAACAGGTTTGTTAATATTGAATAAACTATTTTTAGATTGTTTTGATTTTGTATAACAAACAAAACCCGTGATCGGCCAAATTCCCTGGTTTCTACTTTTGACGCCCCATATGTTAGTATCAATTTTATCATATGATAAAGTCGGCATCATTAGTACATACCAGATACTAATACATATAAAATCGGTTGGCTGAATAAGTGTATTACTAATTTCTATACGTACTAAGGTAATTATATATCTGGGCGTAATGCAAGAGGAAGATACTGCATTAATTGACGTCCTCACCTATTTTTAGCATCACTATTTTTTGCTAGTCTCATTCCTTCAATTTTTATTCTTATTCATTTGTAACATTAATGTCTATAGAATTTTTTAAAAACTTTCTAAAGATTTAAAAAATCTACTTGAAAATGGTGAAGATTATAATGTATTAATTGAAGTCGGTCAAATGACAAATTGTCAAGTATTTAAGGTACCTACAATCATTTTAAGTTCTCGGTGTTTTTATTTTCGTGAAGAACTATCAAAGACAATTCTCAACGAAATGAATGTTAAAAAAATCTGTACACCGCATATTTCTGTTAAATCTTTGAAATTATTATTAAGTATGACTTTTACAGTTATTGTTATAAAAATTCATAATCATGAAATACGGTTTAAGTGTTTCTTTTTCTCTTTTCTTTTTTTTTTTTTTATCCTAAATAGATATATTTATGGTGGCATTATTCTATTCAACAAAATCGATGCGTCTAAAATCTTCGATCTTCCAACAACTGTTAATGAAGAATTGCGTAATGATGCGCAAGTATAATTGGTTAAGAATCATCTGGATGCGTCAAAATTTACTAAAGTTTATAAATTAAGCTATGAAGTGATGATTTTAAAGATTTACTACAGTTCTGTTATGATATTATTGCGAAGTATCCGATTATTATTTTGGATTCTGATGATTTTGAGAATCTTTCGGAAAGTGCCTTGATCCTCTTTTAAAACTTGATAATTTAAATATGGATGAAGGAAAAATTCGGGATCAAGTTATTAAATGGGGAATTTCTCAAAACTCTGACCTTGTTTCTAATTCTGCACAATGGTCTAATGAAATATTTTTAACTTTAAAAAGTACTCTCGAAAATTGTATGCCCCATATCCGATTCTTTCAAATTGCTAGTGAAAATTTTATTGACAAGTTATATCCATATCAGCAAATCTTTGATCCTAATTTGTGGAGAAACATTTTGTCAAAATTGACTTCGCCAAATAGGGCTATTACTTCGACTGTTTTACCTCCTCGTGTTATCTCAGATACCATATTGCCTCCAAAAATATTACGGCATCAATTGAGAACAATATGCTTAAGGATAAGAGAAATGAAGGTAAATTTCTCAAAGCGTTAGAACTTAGTAAAGAAATTCTCGAAAATAATCAACCTAGCGATGAAGATCAAAGAAGTGCTTCGACTTGGAATCTTTCTAATAAGTGCGGATTAAAAAACTTAACAAAATTAACAAAAGAACTTTGCAAAACACATTACTGACCTTATTGAGTATTGGTGAAAATAATTTTGGGCCTGAAGGAAGAAAAGTATTAGCTGATGCACTATGCAAGGACAATACCCTGGAAATTTTGGATGAAAAGGAGGATAAGCGTTAGCAAATACACTTTGTAAGAATACCACTCTGATTTATTTGGATCTTTATGATAATAATCTTGAATCAGAAGGGGTAAAGCATTCGCTGATGCTCTGTGCAAGAATACTACACTAACTTCGTTGATTATTGGTCATAATAACCTTGGATCAGAAGGTGGAAAAGCACTAGCAGATGCACTCAGCAAGAACAATACTCTAAATGTTGTGAATCGTTATAACAATTATCTCGGATCAGAAGGAGGAAAAGCTTTAGCCGATGCACTTTGCAAAAACACTGCACTGACTTCTTTGGATATTTCTTGTAATAATATTGGATCAGAAGGAGGAAAAGCATTAGCAGATGCTCTTTATAGGGACAATACTCTGAGGGTTTTGAATCTTTGGAATAATAATCTTGGATCAGAAGGAGGAAAAGCATTAACGATGCACTCAGCAAAAACACAATACTTACTCGTTGATTATTGGTGATAATAATATTGGACTAGAAGGAAGAAAAGCATTAGCTGATGAGCTTAGCAGAAATAATACCCTTGAAGGTGCTATATATTGGGGAACTAATTAAAGTGAATGATGAAAGACAATTGAGATGCGAAGTAGAGATTCAGATGAATTTAAAGTAATTTTAAATAAAAATATATGATCACCTTTTTAATAACTGAATAATTGTTTAAATACGAAAGGCATCCAAATATTCTTCGACTTCTCAGATATTTTCAAGTTGATATATATCTTGTTCTAATCCTTGAATATGCAGCCAAAGGAGAACTTTATAAACAACTTGTAAAATCAGATAAACTTAAAGAAAAAAAAAAGCAGTAAAGGTTTGTTTATTAAATTTTGTGAATAAATTTAATACATAAAATGCTTTCTGAAATAAATGAGTTCATTATTTTTCTAAAATACTATATTGCACAAATGGCTGGTGCTTTAAGTTATATTCGAGATATAAAACCAGAAAACTTGTTGATAGATTTGAATGACAAGATCAAGATTGCAGATTTTGGATGGTCTGTGCATACAATTCAAAGGTATGCTACAAGAAGAAGTTATGTCATTTACATTTGGAAGAATTTGCAATTAGTTGCTTTTATATATAAGTTGGAAAACATTTTGTGGTACATTGGATTATCTTCCACCCAAAATGGTAGAAGGTAAAGAGCATGATGAAAAGATAGACCTTTGGTCATTGGTATTTTGTGCTATTAACTTTTACAGGTACCGCATTATTTGAAGAAACTGGTCATACTGCAAAATATGAAGATTTGCAAAGTTGAGTTCAATTTGTAATTTGAGGCTTGTAACTTAAATTTTTAAAGTAATTTTGCTAATAAAGTTAGTGTTGATTTTAATTTTATATTACAAACGTAGTTGCTACAACGTGACCCAAAATAATGGCTATATTTGAATGATGTCTTGAAACATCCATGAATTCAAAAATACCAGAAAAACTCATGAATATAATTCCTTTAATAGTTATGTAAAAATCACATCGTTACATTAAGTAGTTACATTATCTATAAATATTCAAGTGCTGTTACTTAGTAACTAAGTAATCAAGAGGATCATCATGTTAAAATTTATTATAAAGTTTGAGTCCTCGAAAAAATAGTCTATTAATCCTAATTTGAATCCATAATAAAGTGTATAGAAGACTTTAAATTTACAAATTTGCTTATTGATTGAAAAAGGCAATTTTCCTTTCGGGTTCACCCTTATCTATTATTCAATTGATCGTTCAAATGTCCTTTATTGCCTGAAAATACGCGAAAGTTTCAACAAATGCCTTAACAAATATAGAGACTAAAAAAGCTTATATTTTTCATGTAACTTAATAAAAAAGGTTTAATAACAATTTTATGAAGAAAAATAAAGGTTTAAATAAAAAATTTTATATGAAGTTATAAAGAAAAAAAATATGTTCTCGACCCTACTTTCTCCGATTATTAATATTGATAGAAATTTCACAGATTATGGCAAAAATGTATTAAGTTTTGTTAATGATCTGATTATTTAATCAAGTAAATAGATAAGTAAGAGTCATATTAACAAAGATCATCTAATGATGGTTCTAAAGTTCTGATAATAGTAGAATCCTTGATTTTCAGAATACCTTTTTTTAAGTAGCTATTGTGTTTTAAATTGAGTTAAAGTTACTCTCAATTCACCCTTTTATATTTGTTAGTCAATTTTGAAAGTGTGCTAACAACGTTTATAGTGGTAGTTGTTAGGAATGTGCGCGTATTTTAGAATCCAAGTTAAATATTGTATTGCAAAACTTAATTGTTTATTGTAAAATTAATACATTTATTATGAAAAGAATAATATATACATCGCGAAATATGAATAAAGTAGTTATTACGAATCAAATTAATATATTGAAAGACTATAATACACGTCTTTAGACAAATTTTTTGAAAGTTTTATGAGCAATAAATTCTCGTCCGGGTATGGCCGATACTTTATCCGGGGTACGATCAATATTTTTCCGGGGTATTTTAACAACAAATCAAAATAAACTTCGACTATGCTATAAAAAGCACTATAAACTTTTCACTCTTACCTTAAAATTAAAATTTACAATTATATAAAAAAAGAAAAGGAGAATAAAATTGTTCTACATATTTAACAAGTTACAATTCTGTTATTTTTGTATATTTTAAAAAAATATAACTACACCAAAAATAAATTTTTATTAATTTTAAAGTGATAATTATAAATAAAAGTATGTTATGAATAACTTTAGTTAGAAAATAAAAATAAAATTATCTTGGTACAAAAAATTAGTTGACTATATTAAAATTAAAAATTTTAGTATTTCTATATTTAACTTTTTTTATTAAGGTATCTGGTTTTTTTTAAAGTAAAGTTATTTTATAAAAGCTTTAAATTTACAAAGAGTTAAAATTAGAAAAAAATTATTTTATAATTTTAATTTCATTTTTCACTTAGTAAAAAGTTTTTATATAAAAATTAGCAAAATATATAAATATTAAATTTTACTCCAACCAATTTTACTTTTTATTAAAGTAATTTGTTTTATTTTCTAAGTAAAGTTGTTTAGAATAATTTGTTCTAGTAGATTTTCCGATTTTAAGATCTCGAATAAATATAGACGTTATTGATTGAAAATTATGATCACTAGGGAATTAAAATCGCAGAGATTTATCCACTATCATCACGAAATCACAGGGTTCACCTTTTTGTAAACTGCTAAAATAAAGAACACAAATTATCATTTAAAATTTTTTTAAAATTCTTCGAATTATTAATATTTATCATAATAATAAATGCTTCCAAAAATACTTTTTAACAAACTACTAAAAAAAGAACTTGAGAAAAAGCTATAAAACTTCACAAATAGTAAGATATCGATCTAATTCATTCTTTTTCGAGAATATTAGCTGTATTTTTGTGAGTGCTATTAGGATATTCATATATTAGATCTTTAATATAAGTCATTTTAAAAAATATCAAGTTTCGAAAGAAAATTCACGATCATAAAAAGTATTAATTACTAATGTTATTATATAAATAAGCTTAAAATCAAAATACGTAAATAAGATTTATGAATCACTGATTTTGAAATAAATACATCAATAACTTAAATCGAAAAACATTAATTCTGAATCACCCTACTACATTAATTGATAATGCAGGTAGAGCAATGAATAAACAAGTTAAAAACGTGGTATAACTTGGTACATAACTAAATTTAAAAACAATTGAAAAAATCAAACTACCGTTATTATCAGATAATGTAAAAGTCAAACTACATTATTATAAATAGAACTAACGCTAAAATAATTGTTTTCTTATTTTAACATGATTGATAAAATCAATAATAATTTAGTTTCTCCTTTAATTAATAAAAATATAATTCCGAAAGCAGTTGATGAACTCTATTCAATACAAATATTGCTCTAAGCACTTGCAAAGAAGAATACCAATCGTAACAATGACATATTTGAAGGTGACAAGTTTTATATTACGAATCAAAGTAGTATTCTTTTTTACTTTGTGAATTCTACATTAATGCCATCTGAAACAAAACTTAATATAGAGATATATCAATATTTACCTTTATAATTATAAATAGCACGAAATCATATTATTAAAATTTAACTTAGTGATTAAGCTCAATAATAATTAACTCTGAAAAAACTATAAAATGAATATTAAATACTAATATTAAGTAAATATAAAAAAAAAAATCACTAATAAATTTTCGGCTTTTAATTCATTGTTTTAAATATATAAATTTTTCTGCTTATATTTTGATAATTTCAGGTTTTAAATTAAACTTCAAAATATAAACAGTATAAACCTATCATGGGATTAGTGATATGGGCTGATGAAAAAATCTCGGGCCGAGGCCGGCCAGGGCCGGCCCAGGCCGACCCGGCTGGCCTTTTATGAATGATTTTGAAAAATTCTAAAAGATACAAAACTTCTCCCACCATTTAAACATCCATTGAAAGTTATTCAAATTCGATTCGATCCCTTTTTTCTGATTCTAATAAGAGATTCGTATTCAATGTTGCCTTATTGTCTACATTCCGAAGATGCCCGGCCGATATTTTCCGGGTCGGCCCATATCACTACATGGGATGTTTATATTTAATCAAGTTTTACGAGTACCTTCGATATTAAATAATATAAAACCTATCTAGCCTTAACATTGGTACTAATTCTACCAATTAAACTTTAAAGACCAAGATTTTGCTAATTATGTTGGGAAGGATTAGATATTCGAATAGCTTCATGTGATCATAACAGATAAGCTGTGATTTTATAAAAATAGACTTTAAAACTTCATCGCCAGCTATAAGTATTACGTAGTATTTGAATTATTAACATTCAGCGTTTTTTTTTTTACAGTATTACCATTTTCAATCTAATCTTTTTAATCCATTTGTCAAGATTAGTGCTCCGAATCGGGTCGGGTCAACCCGAAAACCCGACCCGAAATCTCGGTCGTGTCGGGTTCGGGTTAGAAATTTCCGACCCGAAAATTTCGGGTCGGGTTCGGGTTGAACGTCAATCTGACCCGACCCGAAAATTATCCAATTTAGAAATGCGTGAAATTAGCATTTTGTTTTTTTTGGTTCTAATAGCAAGTGTATATGTATTTTTAAATAATATTTTATTAAATAAAGCCTCAAAAGGCAGTCAAGTATGCACCAATCAGATTTCTTCAAACGATCGACACAAAATTGTCACTCGATTTTGATTGGTTAACGGCTGCAGATCTGCAAATTTTGGTCCACATTAGTTACATAATTGTTTACTAATTTCCGGCCGTCATTAACTTTTGATTTTTTCATTACAAAAATATAAATTTTTGGAAAATAATCCCACATTATGGTAAAATTGACCTAGGAACAATTTTCACTTAATAGGCTCTGTGGTTGCATTAGTAGAACTTCAGACAAATTTTTTAACCATCGCTCTTAGCCAATCAAAACCAAGAATCTCAATATGTAACTTGAAATTTCAACTATTAAATGAAACCACATTCTGCACTCTAATATAAAAATTATTATTCCAGCCTAACTTAACGCATATTTTTTAATATAAAATATTACATATATTGAAATTATTTAATTCATCAAAGAGATCTGAATAGTGCATATTTGTTGATATCCCAAACTAATGAAATTTAAAATCTTAAATAATAATATTATCGAACTTTGAACTAAAATATCTCAGCAATTACCTATCTAAGTTGGAAAAACTTAACTGCTGACTTTGGTTTAATATTTACCTAAATTCTTTTTAACTTCAAACAAATTTCTCGACAGCAAAATCAATAAACTTTTTTTATTAAATTCATAGAATAAAAATAAAAAAACCTATCATTGATTCTAAATATGCAATGTATAATTCTTACTGTAGTAGCCTGCTGAGTTTATGAGCATACTGTGCTTAGATTTGATTAGCCAACTTTGATAATCATCATTATATGAATTATTAAATGTTTAAGAGCAAATAGGGTGATTGAATTCATTTTTTTAAAAAAATTTAATATATTAGCCTAAAATTTTGGATTGGGTTCAGGTCGGGTCAGGTTCAGTTTGGGTTGAGGCTCTAACCCGAAAATTTTTAACCTGACCTGACCTGAAATTTTTGGGTCGGGTTTGTTTAGAGTACTAGTTCTAATAGCCAAGTGTATATGTAATTTTAAAGAATATTTTATTACTGTTTGCAAATTGATGTGACTTTTGATAAAATTTATAGGTCACTGCATGCCCAATTGTTCGATTGCAATCGATTG